TTGGTGTAGGTATTGTAATTAAAATAGATTTTTTTATCATTATTTGGAATGATTATTATTTTTTCAATACCAAATATTATAATGATAAAATTTATTGCTTATATAAAATCATTAAATTCAAAATTCAAGTATATTATTTAAAAAAAAAAAAAAAAAAAAAAAAAAAGAGAGAGAGAGAGAGAGAGAGAAAGATGGTTAAAGACATTGATGATATTGGAACATAATTTTGTTTAGTTTTATATCTTAGTAAGAAAGATTATTTTTTTAAAGAACTTCACAAAAGAGAACTATTGAATATTGATTACTACTTAAATACCTTGATTAAGCAAACAAATTGGTCCATATAAAAATTTAGAAAAATAAAAATAAAAAATACATATGAATTTTTGTTTTAAAAAAGATTTTTATAGAAGAGACCAAAGAAAATAATTTTAATATTATAAAAAGTGATAGATAAATAAAAAGATTAACAAAAATTACTAAAAGAATTTTATAATAGTTTATAAAAATAACATAGAGGTAATTGGATTATTTTTGTTAAATTAAAGAATAATATTGATAGAAAAATATGAATCAATATTTTCTTTTATTTATAGAATCATATACAATTTATCAAATATATTCTAATATACAACATTAAGATGGTTTATATCCAACATATCTTTTGGCTATTCATTTTAAATAGATTTTTGATTTGATTATTATAGCAATTGGATTATAAAAAATGAGATATTTATTTTTAGTTTATAAAGATTTATTAAATCAAGTAGAAGATAGAGCATTAAGAATAAATTCTATAATTTTATATATTTATAGATTTTTGCTTGAAGATATTATTTGTTATCATGTATGTATAAAAAATCATTAAAAATTATAAAATATCAACTTTACAAATCGTTTGTGATTTTAAAAAATTGAGGAGTTAAATTATCATTAACTATTCCTTATAATCTAGAAGAAAAATCAAAAAGTGAACATAATTATCTACCAATTGTAAAAGCATTAATTAAAGCTTATAATGTAAGGATCAAAGAATGGCCTTGATTTTTATTATTTTCATTGTACATTGATTAAAAAATTAATTTTTTATTTATAAGATATATGCCTATTGAATTGATGATAAGTTGAAAACCTATTATGCCAATTGAAGAAAAAATATCAACTTGAATTGTATAACTATAAGAAAATAGATTGATAAGAGAATAGTTTTTAGCTATTAGGATTCAACAACTTGAAAAAAGATCAAATGATATGCAAATAGTATTAAAAAGATTAAAACACTTCTAATTTTGAAAAGCTCTCTAAAATTTTATATGAATTTGATTGATTCAAAATTAATACTTTATCAAATTCTAATAAATCTAATTTTTTAACTTACTTTCTAATAAAAGAATTCCAAGAATTATCATAAAGATGTAATTTTATGCTTGAATTTTGATTTTGACCTTAGTTCATAATCTATTCTCTCCAAGTATCAAAATCTAATTTTTAGGCTAAATTTTGCTAAAAGCTACTATTTACTTCTATCTATTGATGTACATGATATTAATTTAGTAATCTATCTTTTCATATCTTTTTTATGGTTTTATAATATAAATAAAAGTATATTTTTTATAAAATTACAACATTATCACTTATTAGTTTTACTATCTCTTTGACTATTATTTAAATTTCTAAAGTAATTTGCTAACATATTTTGAAATTATATCTTTTTTTTAAATCTATATATATATATATATATATATATATATATGTATATTTTTTTATCTATTAGTTGTATTATAACACAATACTATTAAGATCATAAGAAAGACATATAAAAAAATAAAGAATTCATTCCTAAATCATATAATGTTGAATAATATTATCAATTAAAGAAAAAAAAGGTCTTGCATGCCTAAAAGAAGGGCCACAAAACTTGATAAATGGAAAGCACCAAAAAAAATTAATTTCTTATTAAAGATATTATGTATTAATTAATACCTAAGATCATCCTTTAGTATATAGAATATGCAGCCTTTGAACCTTTAATTTGGTTAATTATATTAGTCAATTATAGATGCAAAAAGAAAGTAGTTGTAAATATCAAACAATGGTTAAATAGCCATCTTATTTATATATTTTTATGTAAAAGATGCATCTAAGTAATTTAAATAATATCTACAAAATTAACAAGTAAGAAGTTTTTCCATGAGACATCCAATTTAGATTTTTTCTATTTTAAATATATATTTAGACTTAGTGTTGTTCAAAAATTTAGGCCTATATCTAACTTTGCTATTTGGTAGTATATATAGGTTAGAATTAGATTTAGGTGGCTCAATGTTAGCCAAAATTGTAACAAGCAAGTACACCAATTGGTTTTTCAAGAAGTAAGAATAAGCCCATCTCAACTCATTAATTATTCCACTTGTATCTAGATTTGGCCAAGGTTATTAACTACGATTTTAGATATATATATATATATATATATATATATATATATATATAGCTTCACCATTGGCTCATGCAATGAAGCAAGCTCAAGTTGGTTGCATTGTCAATAGCATTCTTAAAATTATTGTGATTGTTGAAAAAAAATAAAAATAAAAATAAAAAAAATAAATTGAAGATTTGACAATTTAAAAGTAAATTACTCCTATAGCTACTAGATTTAAAATTGTTGTCTTGTGACACAACTATATGGTCAAAGATAAAAAAATATTAGTTCTATTATAGAAGAGCCTAATTATAAAAAATAAAAATAAAATGATAACAAAATATGAATAAAAGATAGAGTAGTAAAAACTTATAGTATTAATGTTGTCGTTTTGTAAAAAAAAACTTCTATTTAGTTTGTATGGCCATAATTAAAGAAAAATAAAGTATATTAAGAAAATAAATAATTAATGCATCTTTAGAAGGGAGTTAAGAGTAGTTTGTAGCAAACATTATCTCAAAAATCTAAAAATTGATATTTGAAGAGGTTTGGTTATGAATCAAGGTCAAAATCACATCTTAAGGCACAAAACCATGCACATGCATTGTATTTGAGATTCATTTATTAATCAAAGAAAAGGATTAGAAAAAAAAAAGTTTAATAAAGATATTTTAGGATTATTTTGAATTGATTTAAATGTATATTGAGTTCTTGAGAGATTTTAATTATAAATATTTATAATTGAATACTTTAAAATGATATTTTATATTTAATTAATAATCTTTTAAGCATCCAATTATTTTTTATTGTTAAATCATTTAATATTCAATAATAAAAAATACTAAAAAATTATTTTTTAAATTAATATATTGATTGTAATAGCTATATTAAAAGAATATTTTATTATATATTTTTAGATAATTATTTTTTCTACATGTAATAAATATAAAATATTTTTAATCAAATTATTTATGAAATAAATAAAAAATTTAATGGTTTAATAAATTTTTGAGATAATAAATAATCTCGAAATTCTAAATAAAATTTATTAATTTTTATAATTTTTACACATTTAGCGCTCTTTTATTTCTTGAAGTATTAAAAAATTTATTTTATAGGCTTGATTGTATAAGATCAAAAGACTAACTTAGTATTAATGAAATATAAATTTTTTATTTATATAAGATTGATTATTATTCTTAAATATTTATATCTGAATCAAGAACTTTATTACATAAAAAAATTATTAAAATAAATAGTATGTATAATTTTTAATAAAAAATATAGTAATTTTTTTCACTTTAATTAATGATTTTATTTAATAAAAATTATGTATGTATATATATATATATATATATATATAACTTATTCTTTTATATTTTTTTCTTTACTTTTATTTTAAATAATTTTACATTTTAGACCATTATTTAAAAAAATAAAATTGGTACTCTAATACATGAGATTAAAGATGCTTCTATAAGATATTATGGGATTGTTTTTTTTAGTTATCAAATCAACCTTGGACAAATGCCAAAAATATGTAAAGATAGTCTTTAAAAAAAAAATTTGATTGAAGGTAAAATGGAAGTAACAAGAATGTTTTTAAATAAAAATATTCTATTCTATGCACATATAGATTTTGGATATTTAGGTGATAGAATATATTCTATAGTATTTACATCTTTTTTAAAGGTTGTGGAAGTTACAATGTAGAGGGAATTTAAAGGAATAATATATCTTACTTTTGCAAGTAATTTTTAATATGATTTAAAGCAAATCCTTAAATAAAAATTCTAAAATGAATAGAAGGATATAAAAGCTAAGAAATTGGTAAATGATATAATGCAAAAGAAAAAAAATATCATCTACACTAAACTCAAAACATAGTGATAGATATATTGAAAATATAATTTAGAAATAAAAATAAGTTAGAAAAATAAAAAAAAATAAAAAATAAGATTATTGCATATTATTACAATCCTTAATATATACAACCTTTTAACATGGAGAAACTAGACATTAATGTTCAAAAAAAATTTATTCTATTATAAAATATAAATAAGAGTAGATAATTTCATTGAAATTATACTAGTTGATATTGAAGTAGGTAGTTAAATTATAGGATTTGTACATGATATACAAAAAAACTTATTGAAGTTTTGAAATAAACAAAGAATAGAAAGAATAATGTATAGAGAAGTAGGATGGTTGTTATTTTATATAATCTTAAAAAATAAATCTTTTGTAGAAAGTAATACATGTCATAGAGATAAAAAAGAATTTGTTGATGTATTGATCAAGTTAAATCTAATATTTTCAAAAAAATATTGGAAATAAAATAGATATAGATAGTTTGTAGAACAAATTGGTGATAGAAGAAAAAGATCATATTAATATTTTTATAATTCTAAAAGAAAGTAGAATCTAAGTATTGCAACTTTTAATTGTTTGGGTATGTCAAAAGTATATAAATTGGAAAACAACTTGTAAGGTTATACTATAGAAATTAATGGGTCAATTAGAGACAAGTTATGTAAATTGGATGTTAATAAAATATTATCATAAAATAAGTTTTGAATTAAAAATATTTCATAAAACTAGTATAAAAAGATACAACAAGTGTGTAAATTTTGAAAAACTTTTGATACCTCCAAGAATCATGTGGACTTAAAATTCTCAAAAGGATAACCTTTTTCATTTGTTAATGGATTTTCAAAAGTTTATGTAAGCAGGACATCTTAGTCCTTGACAATTTATATTAAAACCAATTATTCTTAAACCTGAACAGTTATTCAATATTTCATTTTTCTTTTATAATGATTTTTTTTCTTGTTCCTGAAATTCACAAAACTACCCTTTTTAATCAGGAAATGTTAAATTTAAGCAGTTTCTCAAGAACTTCCTTCCACATTTTTAATCTATCACTAAAACATTCCAAATGCAAACGTCAAATTCTGTCCATCTTCTTATTCTTCTTCTCATCCGCATTGATGAATGTTGAGACAATCAGCAACAATGTGATAGAGGATTTCAAAGGTGTGGATCTTTAAGGTTGCAGCATTCAAGGCAGTGGCGAGTAGCTGGATGCGCAGCCAACGCTTCTTCAACAATCAATGTTCCACAAGCTCCGACCTCACCTCCATGACCCAAAAGCATCATGGTGTTTCGGAACTGCATCTGATGAGAGCAGGTGGTGGTTTGTTGTTGAGCAAGTCAGCGTTGAATGGAATGCCGGACGCATCTAGTTTGAGTGGGTCTTGATGTTATGGCGGCTCCACAACGCCGTGGCTGGATCCAAGCGAAGCTCCCATGTGGGCCAATAGTGAAGATCCTGCTTCACTGTCAACACGCGAGGCTTGCCGTTCAAGTTCACGGTCTTAACACGCACGAAAGCTCCATGCTCTAACTCCTGGGTCACGTCAACGAAGACTTGGAGAGTTGGAGTGGGCTTACCATTGACCTCCACAATCCACCGGAGTGCGTGCAGGCGATATCTGTGGGCAGGACTGCCATGGCAATACCCTGCCACGTACACTCCATGGCCCTCCTCAGGGAAGAATCCCAGCGCTCGAACAGCGGAGTGAGGCTCTTGCAAGATACATCCAGCCCAGTTTATCATTCTAGTGGTTCCAAGCCCATGGCGGTCGTCAATCCCCACCTTTACGTTGATCTCCTGGCCTTGTCGAAATAATGTGACATCTAACGTTCCAGGCGAAAGAGCGTCAGAGTCGCCTGTCTTGGTTGCTTCGCAGGAGATCTCAACATCTCGGAAGCAGGTCACAGGTTGCCCGTTGATGGCCAACAACATGTCCCCTTGTTCGAGGACACCGAATGCTCGTGACCCTGCCAAGCATCCCTTCACACGCAGCACCTGCCTTCGAATATTGTCTCTCTCCACCAAAGTCTGCATCCACTTGTCGCTGAGGCCGAAGATTCGCGCCTTGGACAACAAAGTGGGGTAAAGCTCAGCCTCCAGTACACGTATCAGAGGCATGGACCGTTTCACGCCGTTAATGAGCAGGGAAGAACCTCCAGACGTTCCACTCACGATGACATCCAAGACCTCGGATATTGCACGGATTGGAATCCCTCGCACAATTTTGTAATCTTGAAGGGTGCCATTTCCGTATTTCGCCTGAGCGGAGAAGTTACCCCAAAGGGCTTGGACTCTGCCAGCTTCATCAGCCAAGACTCCCGAAAACGTGTGGCCAAGGTCAATGTCTAGCTCAATGACCTCCATGTTCATAGCGCGATACCTGGGAATATCGGTTGCTGGCACGTGGAGAGCAGTCGTAGAGTTTGTTACAGTCGACTTCCGTGACGTAGCTTGCAAGCTTCTGGATAGTCCAACGAGGTAAACAAAATCTCCTCTTCGCAGTGGAGGATCTGGTGAGAGAACAGCCGCCTGTACTGCAGCCATGCCCACTTCACCTAAAGCGATGGGAGTGTAGGCCACTAACGCATAATTGTGCACGGGATGCAAAAAGACGACTTCGGCAGGGATTTCCATGGGGAAGGCAGCGAAGTTCAACATGACATCCGAGACTGATATGACCACTGTGTTCTTGTCCACTGCCACCAGCCCGAGATCTTTGGAGTGGTGCACAATAACGCCAGTGCCGGAAAAATGATGCAAATGCACACCATCATGCATGGCTAAGGGCGGGATGTGGACCTCCACCATAACCAGAGTGGGCTCAATGACGTACTCTGCAACTGATGAGCTATTTACTGGAGCGTTGCCACTTTCTTGCCTAGAAGTGCTGCCCAATGTACCCTTGATGGTTGGATCAGGGAGATCACAAAAGATTTCGTTCTTAAATTTATGACCCATTTTGACAGCTTCAACCTGAGATTCATCCTTGACAGCAATTTCGCCATTATCTCCTTTCTTAACAGTTCCGTTAACAGCGGAGACAGCATCAGCTTCCGCTTTCATTGGGTCAGCTTTTAGAGCCATCAACGCAACCTCAGATTTGGAAGCTGCGGGATAAATATCCCAAAGCCCAAAGGCATCATTTCGGATGTAAATCCGAGGGGGTGCGTACCACTCGTGGCGATCAATTGTGATCAGGACTGACTTGATTCGGTGCCTGTCAGAATGGCTAATAAACTCTAGCGGAACTCGCGCGCCTCTTGAGAGTTTAAAGAAAACCGAGATGAATTTATCAAGATTGTCAATTTCCTCTCCTGCCATCTTTTTGATTATGGCATGCCTTGGCACTCCTGCACAAGATAGCATATACCCAGGCTCTGCAACGTATACAATACCGCAAACGAAGTGCAAGTTGCGGGCTTGTTGGTAGGAAAGTGCGTGGAGTACTCCGCCGCTCACTTCCAGAAACATATTGGGAGTGATAGAGTGCAAATCCTGAACCTCAATCGTCACGTTGATCGTTGTCCCGCCTCGATCCAGCTTCAGGGTGATTAGTTTCCCCACATTATCATCCAGTAAAGTTTCATACTTCAAAAACTGAGTCAATATTTCTCCTTCAGCACTTACAAGGACATCCCCTGGCTCCAGTTGCTTGTGTGCAGGTCCTTCTGGTACCACTGAATCCACGACAAGCATTCCAGTTTCGGAGGAGGGCGAGGCCTTGCGAACCATCTCCTCTGTATCCCTCTTCAAGCCAAGTCGGCGAATCTCATGAAATCCTTTGTGGGAAAATGTCAGCTGCAGGGTTCCACGGGAAATCACAGCGGGCGTCCAACCCTTAAGAGACATATCTTTTTGCTCTTGCAACAGATGAAGAGCCCGCACGACTCGCTCTAGAGGAAGAAAAAAAGCAGAAGCACTAGAAGATCTACTTCCTGCGTTGAGTGCAACAGCTTGACCATAGATGTCAATCACAGGAGAGCCGCTGGAACCACGCTTTGTTCCTGACGCCGCCTGCATGTAGAACGTGTTGAAATCGTTGTACCCAGTACTCTTGTAATGTGGCGCATCACGGTCAAGTCTCGCGAGTGTCCCCGCGAGTATTGACACTTTCTCTCCGCTATCATTGCCTACAACACGAATTTCAAGCCCCACCGCAGCCGCATCTGGTGCAAGAGGGATTTCCTCATAGTCGAGAAACTGAATAGTGCGTGGATCGTACCAGAAAAAGCCAAAATCGTGAACCGGGTCTCGGTAAAGAGGATATACTAAAATTTCCTCTCGGTTAACGAACATGGCTTCGGCCACTACGGGTCCAGGCTTCACAACATGGCGATTTGTGAGGATAATGCCCCGTTGCTTGTCAACCACAAAACCCGTGGCGTGGGTAGCCCCCGCCACTTCAGTATCAAATGTGCGTGTGGTAGTAATGCGGAGGACGACTACCGCAGGGACGACCTTTTTGAGCGCCTTGCGCCAAAGCTCTGCGGTGCCTGCGCTGTCCACTGGTGTCTCAAGCTCCATGGCGAGGTCCAGCTTCAAATCATCCTCGCTCTCTGACTTCATTGACGGCGAACAGTCCATCTTGTCTGCTTTTCTTTTTTTTCAACAGCATGCAATCTGACCCCGGATAGTCTACCAACACAAGCCTCTTTGTTGCTTTGCACACATAACCATGAGTAGTGTCACCACTGCTGCTTGCCCCTTTATTCCTGAAAACGAGGCAGCTATTCGAGTAGATAAGTGTATTACTCAAGAGCAGTGTTAACAACTGAAAGAATACACAACAATTGGCAGTAGGTTCCCACTTGTAGTCACCAATTCTTCGCATTGACAGGAAAATTTCAGCAGGACTGCTTTACAGCTACGTCAATCACAAAGTGTCACGTTATGAACAGAGAGCACGACCCAGACTGAAAAAGAAAGGAGAGATTGTTTTCTTACAAACTATGACTGGTCATGGTTTCCATATACAAACTCAACTCTCTATGTACACGCCTCATTCGTGCTCACCTTCACCAATCTGACCTGTCTCACTGCTAAGGAGACTAGAATAAACATTAAAAAAACGTCCATATTTCTAACCGAGCATCCTCTTCAAACTCTTGCAACGAACGATCCAACTACCTCAAGAATGTGAAGCCTTTTCTGATAAGGAAGGATCTAAGATATGTCTGAGAATTTGTATTTCCTTTTCTTCCATGCCTTCCTGATCTATGAAAAATTCTTTGCAAACAGCAAGACGCATCCTGGATATCATGAAGGACACGACTGTTATTATGCTGTTTATTGCTGTTTACATCAATAAAGACATTTTTACACTCGATAATCAGGCACCTTTTCAAGCATAAATGAGAAACGTGAAAATTCGTCCAATCTAAACACAAACGAGAAAAAAATATATGTAACCTTTAAGCTCCTACAGTCCACCGACTCGGATAAGATGAAACTAGCTGCAGATTGTATTACCAGAGTCACATCTATCAGTTAACTGTTCATCTTACCGCATTTCAGAGGAATCTGTCGGACATTAGAATTTCCTCTTGAGGCAAACCATACCAATCGTATTTACACGACGTTACATGATAGGGTCCGATAGACAGGAAGAGGCTACATCGTATTAAAAATAACAGCACCACCATGTAACTGCAGTTAATTGATGCCCTTCGGAGTATAGGTGTTGGATGGAGCCATAGAAAACCATTCACAATCGGCGTGAAATCATCCCTACATCTCTAGAAATCTAAATCCAAGACAACTAAGAAGATTGACCAAAAGGATGAATTTCGAAACAGCTCTAGGTCGCAAACCCAGCTAAATTTCCAGCCTGACAATCTTCTTCCACCTTCAGAACACTTTGACAAAAGACTAGACTTATATGTAATATCTAGAGGCTTGAAAGGGGATCGTCAACGCATTGCACTCTATAGGGTTCAAGAGACATACAATCGAATGTGCATTTCGCTACTCAAATCAGTTCAAGTCAGAAATTTACTGTGTTTAGACTTGGACATCCCCTTCCATGAACGAAATTAGACACCAGAACAAGTAAACCTGAGGAAGCTTATAAAGAAACAAATGTGCACCATCTCGAATAACATCAATTCTGTAGGCTGTAGGGGTGAATGATAAACTACAAGCGAACGGACAACCACCAAATTGCAGGCTACTCCGGCACCAGCACACCGACCGACATAAAATTAGGCAGTAGGCGTCGCAGGATGGACAGGAGCCGTTGTCCGCATGGACAGTGTACCAAAATCAGCAGGACTAGAGAAGGCAGAGGTGGTCATTGAATCGACAGAATCCAAATCACTCATCCGCAGACCCAATTCCAGAAGCAAAAAGCGATGTAGGGACTGACGCCCAGTTACCGAGAACCAAGCGGGCTCACCTGCAGGTCAAGCTTCATGTCTGGAAGGTCGCAAGCGAGGTCGCATTGTCAGTGGAAACAAGCTCGGCGAGCTCGGCAACAGACAGAAGAAGCCCTGCGATCCCGTCGATGCCTTCGATCGAGCTCCGTGGCCCGCGTTCCGGGCTCCAGCGTCACGTTGCACTGATCAAACTCGGCGTCGATTCGCATCGCCCCCCACCTCGCGTCGCGTCCACACACGCTTATTTGCAACGCCGAAACGAAAGTAAGCGCCGACAGAAACACCAAAACCTCACAAATAAGTAAAGGAGAAGGGTCCGACAGAAACACCCACCCAATTAAACCTAATTAAAATAATGGTTCCGACGATCTCACGACCCTTTCAACGATGACGATGACACTCTCAAAGGAAGAAGACAACGAAAAGAATGAAGCAGAAATACCACCAATTCTGCCCACTTCCCACCACATTCAAAGTTTCTTTCCGGTACCTTTTCGGATTGGCGGAGGATTTTTTTGTATTATTCTCACTCTATCTTTGTTCTATAGCCCCGAAGCTTGAGTATCAGGGTTGGGGCTTGAAGCTTGAGCATGAAGCTTGTCATGAAGAATTCCTTTGTACCGACAACATGGAGAGGGATTAGATTTCACGCACCAATGGTACAGAGATGAATCTACCATATCTACCACTGGGTTTTGTGTGGCATGTTTGCACAAAAACCAGTCGTTGTTTTGTAAGTTGTGAATGTTGTATTAATTAATTAATTTTTTCTACTTTTTGTATATATGTTAAAATAGTTTCTATGTGTTTCTGACTTATCCAAAAGAAAAGATGATTTTTTTGTAGATTTGAATGCTTGTGTTGAAAACTAACATTCATGATGTTTGCATCTACATCATTGTGCATGTCTTCAACATTTGATTGTATTCTTTGTATAAGTTGTGGTGGAATTTTGACTTAAGAGCATTTTATTCTTAGGAGAAAAGGTGAAAGGTTCCAAATTTTAAATGTTTTGATTGGTTAAAATTAAGAAGCGTTCTTGAGTTGGCTTTACACTTAGAATTACAAGTCCAAAGACCTTAAGAAGAAAAGACAAGGTGAATGTATTTAAATAATATGAATATTTTTGTCCTTTAGAATTTCTACAAAATTCATCTTAAGAGATGGTTCTTAAAAAAATTGAAAAGTTAGTGTTGTATTGAATATTAAAAAATAAATAATTTATATTTTTATACTTTTTATAATTGTTAGAATAAAGCTATGAATTGATATATTTAAACGTATAATAAAATAATGATTTACACAACTTTATTGCAATATCTCATTTTATACTATATTCAAAGGCCAAGACTTCTAAAAGAAGGCTTTTCTTCAATAAGTGGGAGATCTCATTAATGCTTTCCAACCATGGCCTTTTAAAATGGACCTCTAGGTTTAAAGTCCATCTAAAATATATACAAGAAGAAATGGGTGAATACATAATATATAAGATAGATAAGGTAATTTCTTTTATTATAATTAAAATATAAAAATTATATTTAATATATACATATATACATATATTTATTTCATAAAATAATTAAAAATAAATTTTGATTTTAAAAGAATAGAATTAGATGACTACATTCCTTTATTAACTAAAATTATGTTTGTACAACTTGATTGTAATTTAGAAGTAATAAACAAGGTAGTAGATATACTAACAAAGGTATTTTCTAATAAGAATAAGCAAAGATTTTTTATGAAGTTTGTTTCATCATGACTAAAAGGACAAATTGCAAACAAGATATTATCTATATGGTTAGAATCATAAGACAATGGAAAGATTGTTATGGTTTCACTGTCAAGGATATGAATCTTCAAGAAAGAAATCTTCAATACACTCTTAAGTCATTCAAAAGAACTAGAAAGTCACTTAAAGTTGATATGGTATTATATTAGAATGACTATTGCCAAAGACAAGAAGACTAGAAAGGCATTGTTAAGAGTGAAGAAGGCTTTATTCTTGCCTCATATATACTCTTAACTAAGAGCTCTAAAATGTGTTGACTTTACAAGATACATATCTTATCTTGCAAGGCAAGTTTTATATATGTATGTCATATAGCTAGCTTGTTTCGCAAGCTATCAACACGTGGTTAACTTCTTGACTAAGTTTCTAACCTACTAATTAATTACAAATACATGTAAAGTCAAAGTAGCATCTATGAAGCTTTTAGGAACCTTTTCTAAAAAATATTACAAAATAAATCTACTCTTATTTATTTTTAATTAATCATATAGGTAAATATTAGAGTAAATATGTATGTCCATGACATTATCCATCTTTTTAGGAATAAGTTCTATGAGGAGCAGTCTTCATATATTGAAAAAATCTAAGATGAAGCAAATTATTTTGCCACATATTTTGATCTTTGTTCTCTTCAAAGATGGTTGATCGGTCTTCTTAGCTATTAATAATGTTCAATATCAAAGAAAGAAGACCACCTTGTTATTTGGTTGTTGTTGAAGCCTTCATAACTTTCTTCAAATAAAACATTTGAAACAGTATCAAGAGTTGTTCTTACTTCTAATAAAATTACCAAATATCAGAAGTCTCTTTGTCAAGGATATGAATCTCAAAGAAAGAAAATCCTCAACACACTCTTTTATTATTGAAAAAAACTAAAAAGTCACTCAAAAAGTAGTGTAATATTAAACTAGAATGGCTATTGCTAAAAACAAGAAGATTAAAAAATCGTGAAATAAGCCTAAAGACTAGAAAGAAATTGAAAAGAGTGAAGAAGGCTTCACTCTTGCTTCCATATATACTCTTAACTAGGAGTTATATGGCAATGTCCTATAGGATCTCCAAAACGTGTTGACTTTGTTAGCTATATTTCTTAACTTACAAGCCAGATTATCTATATATGCACCACATAGTTAGCTTGTTCCACAAGCTACTACATAGAGTTAACTTGTTCCACAATCTATTATACAAAGTTAACTTCTTTCATAAGCTATCAATACGTGATTAACTTGTTGGCCAAGTTTCTATCCTACAAATACATCTAAAGTCAAAATCAAGTCTATAGAGCTTCTAAGAAGCTTCTTTAAAAGACTTTATGAAATTATTCTATATTTACTTACTTCTATCTAATCATATAAGTAACTATTGAGGTATATGTATATGTCCGTGACATTACCCTCTTTTTTAGGTATGAAGTTCATAAGGAGCGGTCATCATCTTTCATGGATCTTTACAATTCTTCATCTTGGTTTTGATGGATGTTATCAATGAAAGGCCTCAACCTTCTTTGTTGCATTTGCAAGATTCTCTGCTAGCTCCTATGTGCATTTGTTGATATTATATCCATGTCAATGAATAAGATATTCCAACCTATTTTGATTTTGCCTTAAATCTAAGACTTCTTCCACCTCAAACTCTTGATTATTATCCACTTCTATATGAAGAGGTAGCATTTGTCTTCTTCTCAAGATATTCACTATCTTATACAACTTAAAGAAGAATATGTGAAATACAAGATGGATCTTCATAGACTCTAATAGATATAATCAATAAGAAACGACATTCATTTGTTCACAAATAGGAAAAGGTCTCAACCTACAATAGTCCAACTTATCACAAGGACGAGTAGTCTTGATGTTGCGACAAAGTAATCATACCTTATTACGTACATTGAATTATGATTACTCCTTGCAATAGGCATCTTTGTTGGTCTTTTGTTGTTCTTGAGCTTCCTTTAATTATGTCTTTATTGTTGCATGTAGCTCTAATAAATGATTTACTAAATCTTTTTCCATAAGATTATCAACTTTTGAAAAGTTAAAAGTATCAAGTTGAGGATTATAACCATAATTGGCAAAGAAAGGTGTTAATTGAGAAAAAATTGTACCAAATTATTGTATGCAACTCTGCCAATGGCAAAAAAGTTGTTCAATCATCTTGATGATAGTTGATGGTACACCTCAAATACTACTATAAAACTTAATTCACCTATTTTGTTTGCCCATCAATTTGACGATGAAAAGCCAAAGAGAGCTTTATATTCACTTTTAGAATTTTGAATATGGTTCTTCAAAATCTTGATACAAATTGAGTCCCTTTATTCAATATACTATCTTTCGGCAATGCATGATAGTGATAGATATTGTCAATAAAAAGCTTAGCTGTTTCTTCACCTAAAGTAGATTTTTTACATAGTACAAAATGTGCCATTTTGGTGAAACAATCTACGATTATGAATATAAAGTCATATGAACTTGAAATTGAAAGATCTGAAATAAAATCCATAGAAATAAAAGACCATGGTTGTTCAAATATAGGCAATGGTTGAAAAAGTCTATAAGGTCAATGGGGAGGAGTTTTGGATCTTGAACAAGTATTGCATGTTTGTACAAAGTCTTTGACTACCTTCTACATTTAAGACCACCAAAAATCTCTTGATATTAACTCCAAAGTCTTGTTGTATCCAAAATATCTAGTTGTTGGAAAATCATAACAAGCTTGAAAGACATGAAATCATGCCTCGTTTTCTGGAATATATAGGCAATCTTTGAAATATAGTAGGTTGTTCTTGAACTCAAACTTTGAAGTATCATAGGACTTAGAGGAAGCATTTTTGATATCATGAACAAGAGAATCAAAAGACATACTTAATTGAATTTACTTGACAAAGGTTGAATTAACAATTAATGTTGATTTTATTACTTGAAGATGAAAATACTCAAGTTTCAAGAGAATCTTTGTTTGTTGATCAAAATATGCATCTCCATCTTTTGGTGCAAGATAAAAATGACTAAAAAAGTTTTCTAATAGATCTTGTTATTTTTTGAGTCAATAAGTGATATTGAAATTGAATCTGGATAAAGATATGTTTTAATGGGCTTGACGATGATTCAAAATATGTGCTAACATGAAGTACTCGAGGTTCTTATGCTCTGTATATATGGTGACTAGACTTGAGGTACCTTCTAGATAATAATGCCATTTTTGAAATGAATCTAGAATTGTAAGGAGTTCTTTGTCATAGATCTCATAATTAATCTTGACTATTGAATATTTTTTGGAATAAAAAACTATTGGATGGAATTTTTCATCTATTTCCATTAATAATAATATGGCATCTATAGTAAATTCTAACGCATCTATTTCTATAAAAAAATACCTTAAAAAAATTGACATAATACAAGATTGATGCAAAAGTAAATTCTTTCTTTAAAGCATCAAATGATGCTTTTTTTATCCTACTCAACTTTTTCTTTACAAGTCAAATTTGTAAGTAGAGCTACAACTTGAGAAAAGTTTTTGATGAAGATTCGATAATAATTAATAAAGCTAAAAAAGCATTATATATCTTATACTATTCTTAGAATCTTCTAATCTATGATAGTTTGAATCTTTTTCAGATCCATCACAAGGCCTTT